AAGCACATAAATAAACTTTAAAGGATTGTACCAGGCTGGAATTCTAAAATTCGTGGTTCACATAAAAAAAGCATTCTGCCTTAACAAAAAATTTTCCAGGCAACTAGAAACAGGTTTGCAGGCCGTCAGAAATTGGCTTCGGTTACAGTAGCGATGATGGTATGAACGTCAAGTCAGGCAACACAGAGAAGGTCCCATGCAAGATTGTTAATTGCACGGGTCTGGCGTCACTCACAGATGAGCAAGAGGGATGGATCTGCAGAAGAAAATACTATTTACTCCCAACATAATAGTTTCAAATTAAATATAAAAAAAACATTTATGGTACCTATTTGTTACCTCAGCTTTCAAATTGAGGAGAAACTCATTGGCAGTTGGAGAAACTTCTCGAAGAAAAGGCAATGCACAACAAACAACATGACACTACACAGTTGACTGACTAGAATAGACTCGATAGTCAATAGAGTACTCAAAAGACAAAAATTTAGCATTCAAACCTTTAGATTCTGTGAACCTTGTGATTTCTTCATTATTAAAACTTTAGAAGGCTCACAATATATCACGTAAAGTTTTCACTCAATTATCGTCTCAAAGTTCAGGAGCTTTATCTGCAGTAATGTTCTGTAGTTACCTCACCAATTGCGTAATGAGAACTAACCACTAACCATTATTAGATTCCCGCCACTGTTGCACACGATTGATTCTGCATGCATTTATAATATTTACGAAGGTTATTAAACCATTCTGATTTCTGTTGAATGTCAGTTACTGATAAATTTTTAATATAGAAGAATTTGTATCTGTCATTTTTTCACATGACTATATTGATGTCGGTTTCAAATTGGTTGCCGGTGTGGTTGGTATTCCTGCTACCTTCTTTGTTTACATTTTTCCTTTGGCTGATCGCAATGAAAGGAGATTGTATGTCTCAGCTGATTGCATTGGTGGTCAGTTTTGTATTTGTGGATTGAATCATAGGCAGTTCTTCATGTATTTGTGAGTGAGTGTACATAGTGAAGATGTTATTCTTTGCAATTTCCATCAATAATGACATAACTACACTATTGTATTACGCTCTTGAAATAAGAATTGTAGCATTACGCATCAAGTTAGCATCAGTGCGTTAACATTGTGTGCATTTGAGGCGGTCCCTTCTAGCTTTCTATCGCTGATTGGATTCCAGTGGCTGTGACGTTGCACATGTTCTAGCGATGATTGGATCCCTGTGACAGTACGTTGGACATGTTCAAGCATTGATTGGATTCTTGTGACTGTTACGTTGGACGCGTTCAAGCGTTGATTGGATTCTTGTTACTGTGATGATGCAAGCGCTGTTTTTCAATGAAACAGCTGTGGCATCTTGCAGAAACTCATCAGTGATGATGATGGACTGAAAGTGGAAGTGTGCTGGACGTTCCAGATTTTTGGGTCCTGCTTTCTGATTTGCTATGTTTACCAGTTAATATATTACCCCTCAGGAATTCCACACTGGGTTGTACCCACATCGTATAATATGTCTTTGTATAAATTGTTTTGAGTACCTAATCAATATTCAATACAGTGCACTCATTTGTTCAAGTACCGGCTTGTCAATACAATTATTTTGTATCATTCAAGAAGACTCCAATGAAAGGAATATAACTGCGATTTTGGAGGCATTAGGACATGGAAGATGTTCTTGCAGCCTGCAATCTTCACACTTTATGCGCTGCCTGCAACTCTGCATGCTCATGCGTGTGCCATGCAAGACTCTTGGAGACTTGGCCTTGGGCTGCATTGCATTGAGAGTCAAGGAAGGCTGTGTAGTACCAGGCAAAACAATTGCGCTTTTAGAAGAGCATGAGCTGTTGTTATGTTAGTACATTGAGTATCTGGCAAATAGTTTTTTATGACCGTGGCCCAAATCTTAATGTATGCTTGATGTACTGACTGCAGGTCCAAGAGATGTTTTTGGGGAGTGAGGACCTTGCAGGACCTTGGTGGTTGAAGTTTTGTTCCAGAGACCCTGAGTTGGTCAAATGTTGGAGAGCCAAATGCTTTGATCGGGGCCAAGCAATTTTTTCAGCAAATGAAAATTAGATGAATTCTTTTCAATAACTGCAAGATGTTCATCATAACTTTAGTGAATGGCCCCATGACATGGTGGACCTCAACAAGTCCTTGCAGAAAGTTGTCTTGCCTTGGTGAGTGAAGAATTTCCATTCTCAACAAAAAGTGGCATCACAATGAGAAAATAAATTCTGTTCATTAGTTTTACGTTAATCATTTATTTCCTTGCTACACATATGGTCTTATTCTTTCATTGATGTTCCTTCTCCTTTCATGACTGGAATAAAATCAAATATGTACAAATATGTACATCATAAAAATATTACAATATTTTACCATGACCTATTTCAGCATCAATGGCTGGGGCTATATTGGTGTCTGTGATGGTTGATATAGTAATACAGTATGTAGCAGTTTCAGCATTCATTATAACGTTCTACCATCATCAATTCTTAACATTGCAGAATTTTCACAGCTTATTGCGGTTTCAAACATGCAACTTGGAGCTTGAATTTTGCGTGCTTAAGTGCCTGGCCTGCTGATTGCTCTGACCAGACTAGCAGGAAGTTGGGATCTATCACGCTCCTTACTGCTTCAGTCACGGTATTCTGAACTGTAACCACTGGGCCACCTTACCCTTGTATATTGAAGAAGTCATGTCAAGAAGTGGAAACGAGGGTGAATACCAAAATGTCTAAAACCAAATTCGAAGACAAATTAATTATCTTATAATGCTGCTAATTGATGCAGTTTATATTTACAGTTCAATTGAAGAAGTCATGTCAAGAAGTGGAAATGAGGGTGAATACCAAAATGTCTAAAACCAAATTCAATGACAAATTAATTATCTTATAATGCTGCTAATTGATGCAGTTAATATTTACAGTACAATTGAAGAAGTCATAACATAACATAATGATGTCGGCGCTGAAATGTAGGCCTGATGTGGCCTGTCGCCGATTCTTTTCCTTTTCGTGCCTTGTTCATAGATCTAAACTCGTATCATTTGATCGGATTTTTTCATGACTGGCGATAGTTTGAAGTAGTACTAGACTTCCACTGGGTTCGATAAGGAGCTAGGCATTTCAAATCTGAACATATATTTTTCCATAGCTTTATCTAGTCTGTTCTTGAACGCGTTGAATGTCTAGAAGTGGAAACGAGGGTGAATACCAAAATGTCTAAAACCAAATTCGAAGACAAATTGATTATCCTATAATGCTGCTAATTCATGCAGTTTATATGAACCCCTTTATGAACTGCATTTATGAGGGATGAACCCCTTTTAAGAAAGAAAGAATGCATCAATGAACAGCAAAAGAAGAAGAAAAGCTTGCAATAGGCCATTTGTACGTGCCAACAAACCTTGCAAACAAACTAGTCATGAGAGAGACCATTCGCAGCACTCACTAACTGCTCTTGAAAGAAGCCATTTGCACAAGACCCATTAACCACTCCTGAAACAGGCCATTTGCATGAGACCTGTTACCCACTGCTGAAAGAGGACATTTTTATGAGACCTATTAACCACTCTTAAAAGGGGCCATTTAAGCGAGACCCATTTACCACTGATGAAAGAGGCTGCTCAAGCAAGACTTATTAAACACTCTTGCAAGAGACCATTTGCGCATGTACCACTAACCAATCTTGTATGCCTAACTAACCTCACAGGTGGGAAGAAGACGCCAACAAAAATGGCACAGTCTTGTATGTGACAGTTGTGCATGATACTGGGAGCTTTGTAATACGGTACCTTTGGGACATTGCTGAGAACATGGAACTTCTGTGTACCTAAGGCCGCCATCAAATGGGAATGATGTTGAGTTGATGAAGTTGACATAGGTAATGCATTAAGGTCTTTCTCTTTATTTCTTGCAAGTCTGTGATGTAGTTTTATGGGTGTAGTTACTTGCTATTAATATTAGTGTTGGGCAGCACACTCTACAACAGCGTTTCAGTGGTCAAGACTCGAGATCACTTATTTGTGGGCAATGTGCTCTTTCTTTTGGCCATAATATCAACCCCCAATCTACAGGCGGGGTTGGGAATTAAATTTTTTAGGATTAAAAAAATTGTTCACTATGCATACAAAGAAATTTGCACTCAGATTGAATTCTGCTTGAATTTCTGACCAGTGTACTACTCCAGGTACATGGTAACAGACTAATTTTTCATACTGAATGTTCATCCCATAAAGATTATTTTTTCAATAAAGTAGAATGAAATGAATGGAGTGAACATTGAACAGCCCTTAACATCAATGTGGTGAAAAAGACAGCTTCTACTAATCACAAAATTTTATCTAGGTGCAAATCCACTGAAATATAGTAGTTAGTAGAAAGATATATTCCTTGGGTTTATGTTTATTTTCATATGAAAGCAATATTTTAAAACATTTTTATTGATTTGTTAAACAAAGACCAAGGTTGGAGGGTTGGTTACGACTTGCTTGTGAATTTGAGGCTTTCTCTACTACAGTACCTCATGTAGGCGCTATGCATGCAAAGACTGTAGTAACCTCACCAGACTATGGCGACTTTAGTGTACCCTTTGGCCTTTGCCAAAATTGTTGTCGACCTAAAAAGTAGGTACTATGTGAGCATTTCCTAGTCCCGATGACTCTCAAGAACTTCCATGTTATTATACGATCAAGCTATAAAAGAAAATTTTAGTGACATTTTTCTCATAAGTTCAAACATAAGTCAGGCCTGCACAAGTGTTACATTTAATTTTAGCTTCTTGGTGTTTTGATGTTTAAAATATTCTAGTGGGTTTTCTGAAAGTGGCAACTTACATACGTGGTATTGATGGTAGACATTCATGTTTATTTGTTGTAGTAGTCATTAGTGATGTAACTGTAAGGTTAATTGCAATCATACACAGACTGACAGCATATTACAGCCTGGTCCTGGTGTGCCTGCATGTATCTATTGATTGTATATCATTTTCTATTACAGGTGTATATGTATAATGGCTTGAGTGTAGGAGTGGCATATCCCTGGTCATCTCTAGACTCTAAGCCAGAAACAAGACAAGACTATATAAGAAAAAAAGGATTATTAGCAATGGATTGTAGAAGAACTCAACTTGGGCAGTTAAATTCTGCAAATACAGCACTTTTTGTTTGTGACATTCAAGAAAAATTTCGGCCAGCCATATGGAATTTTAAGGCTGTTGTATCAAATACAAAAAAATTGGTAAGCAAAATTTGTTATGGATAATTTAGTTATCATAGTGGCAAACCAGAGATTTTCTTAGTCAGTTCATATCTAATTTACTATTTTAATCAAGATTCAAACCAATGTCTCATTCTTATTTATGATAATGCTGGTAGGTATCCAAGATACTTTGCTCGTGTACTTATGAGACTGACAATTAAACATTTGAACTTGAGGAAGAGTCTAAAACTCTCTGCTTTGCCAGTTGCCACTATACTTAAAACTCAAATTATTTAAGTTGTAAGTACTTTTATGCAAGTTTGATTGAAGACCAGAGCATGCTTTTTATTAACAATCTTCTTGTTCGTTTTTTCAATGAGTCGAACCAAATTTCTTGCTGGCATCGGGAGATCGAAAAGCAGGTTTCCGAATGACATTTTAATAGTCTGCGACATTTCGAGAATACAATTTTCATTATCAAGCTGGTGAAGGTTTTACAAGACTTAAAATTCAATTTGGAAATGACAGAAGTACATATGAATGGTATAGTGGATACAATAAAATGAATAATGCGGATACAACAAAATGTTTAAACTTGAAATTACTCTGAAAATAATTTCAGCATCCGGACGAATCCTGTAGTTTGGAGGTTGATAGCTGGAGACTCGTTCTTGATAATGAGAGCCTCAGCTATCATCAGTCTTGATGGGTCGGGGCACCGCATAACTATGCTGGTGCATAGCTCCAATGTCGCTCGGGTGATGGTCTCATTGTGAGCTTCCCGCATGTGGTTCTTGGGTCCTCCAGATTGTAGATGGCATGTTAGTCGGCGGCTTAAGGTCGTGCTTGTTAGACCAATGTAGTTCATATTTTGAAGAAGTCTACAACCTTCTTTATTACATGAGAATTTATAAAAGTATGTAGATCAGAAGTTTTATATTTTCGTTATCTGTTGTACTCTTGACATTATTATGGATGATTGACTGTAGGACTCGTTCATCCACTTTGTAGCCTCTGTTCATCTGGTTTTGGTAGAAGACCGTTGTGGGCGTTCCATTGGATATTGCTTCATTGTTAGTTCGGTTTTCTCTTGATCGGTAATTTGATATTTCAATGTCAACTGTTCTATTTGAAAACCCATTATTCACTAGAATTTGTTTACACGATCTGAGTTCAGTTTTCAAGTCACTCTCGGATGTGCAGGTCTTGAATGCTCTTTGTATGAGAGCTCGCACTGTGTTGGTTTTATAGCGCTGAGGGCATTCACCATTTCAAGAAGATTGTTAATAAAAAGCATGCTCTGGTCCTCAATCAAACTTGCATAAAAGAAAAGCTTCTGCCTAACTACACCAATGTTGTAAGTACTATGTACTTACCAACTAAGTTGTAAGTCCAAAGTCTAAGTACTTATATACCAGTCTTGCCTGGTGTCATTGTCTTTGCCACAGCACTTATGTTGCTGGCCTTCAAAATAAACTACCTATCTATTTCTAGAACAAACTAGACCCAAACTTTCCAGCTCAATTGAATCAGTTTCTTAGTTATAATATTATGTGACAATCCAACCAAATCATTATTCTAATCATATTTATACAGTTTTTAGTGGCAAGCAGTGATGAAAGTGTAGTTTAGTTACAGCAGTGGTGGTATCTGCAGAGTGGCAACTGGCAACCTTCACTTGTGTCATTGACTGTAAATTATGTAGGGAAGACTAAATTGATCTATTTTCATTTTGTGAGAGGAATATTTTTCAGCAATCTGTCTTCCCTAAAAACTTTAAGTTTGATTTTTTTTGTTAATGGTTGTTAAAAATTTTTCTATAATTTCAGACCAAGTGTGGAACTTTTATGTAAGATGTCTGTCTACTCATGTCTCTGAGCCATCAGTGACTGAGTCTGGATATTTCAGGCTGCTAGATAAATTACTTTTCATGCATAATATGCATGAAATATTTTTTTAAACAATCTTACCCCAGGCTAGAAGGCGAGATGGAAAAATAATTAAGTTTCTATCTTCTGAGCAATTATCCTATTAATTTTGCTGCTGTTGACACATGTTTCTCCAGCCATTTGTGCATTTTTTTAACTCTGATTCCATTTTAAGTTATAAAAACTGTATCAAACTTGTTTAATTTTCTCCAGCTGAGTGGCTGCAGTATCCTGAGTGTTCCTGTTGTCGTGACAGAGCAGTACCCAAAAGGCCTTGGTGTCACTGTTGCTGAGCTGGATCTCGAGTCTATACCAATTGCACTGAAGGTTGAGAAGACACAGTTCAACATGGTTACCCCAGCAGTTGAGGAAGCCATGATCAGTACACTGTGCAAGGATGGGCTCTCTAGTGTTGTTATCTGCGGCATTGAGGTAGGTTACTCACTTTATACTACCTACTCTATCATCACCTGAAACTTAGACTTTGGCAATACCATGTTAAAGGTCCTTTATGGTTCACATCATCAGTCCACAACTATTACCAACGCTGCACACACGTGGCTTGCAGTGTCTGTACAAAGCTGTTATTAATTGTAAAGGATATTTTATTAATTGTAACATGATGGGCTGTACAGTGCCAGGCTGTTCTTACAGACACGGTTAAACCTGCTCATGAAGCAGTCTACCAAGGGCACTGTGACAACTGACTCTAGAAGACTACCTATTACACGAGTTAATTACTTGCTGTGAAGCTGACTTGACATCTGCTCTTAGCAAGCACAAGAGAGTGACCTCTAGTATCCCTGTTGCTTGATAACTGGAACTTAGGCTTTGACACCCTGTACAGTTCATGCACGTACTTGTATCTATAAAGTCAGATGCCTGTGCTCACGGCAGGGGAGATACAACGCTTTTAGCCTCTCGGGAGTATGGCAAATCCTGATTGATTAAGGAAGCTTGGTGGCACGTCGCTGAACGTCTTCAATGTCGTCACATAGATTCGAGTTGGCAGGCAGAATGTCCGTATTCAATTATGGGCCTCACAAGACTTGTACAGCTGAACAAACATCTTTGTCAAGGAAGTCGAAACTGCACCGCATCACCCCCAAGACCTGGTTTGCATTTGTCATCACTCTTGCCAAATGCTCCCTGAAATTAAGGCTGCTGTCAACGAAGACCCCCAGATTCTTTTTGACTTAACTCTCCTGAATCTGCACCTTGTATGGCATCCCATAGTTTCAGAACGTGGCATTTCTCGTGACACAAAGAGCTGCGTGACACAAGATCTTCCACTGACAAAGCCGTGTTGATGATGACTGATAAGATCATTCGTCTCGAAGTGTTCCATGAGCCTCCTTCTTTTTGATTGTCTGGAGTACCTTGCACATGATACATGTCAGACTCGCAGGTCTATAGTTTCCTGGTTGCATGCGACTCCCTTCTTGAAAATTGGAGTCACTGTTGCCATCTTCTAATCCTCTGGTACTTGGCCGGAAGCAATCAAGATATTGAACAAGTGACTTATATCACCAACAAGATTTTGAACGAGACACTTCCATTTTCATCATAGTAATTATATTTCTACACTTGTTGTGGCAAGATTCTTGGTATACCAGAATAGACAGTCTTTATTGTTTCTAGGTGAGGCTGATATATTCATTAATAAATAAATACAAAAGGTAGTAACGGATTACTTTTGTTTGTCCTCAGACTCACGTGTGCGTTGAACAGACTGCCATAGACTTGTTAGCTAGAGGCATCTCGGTGCACGTCGCTGCAGACTGCTGCACATCGCGGACCAACCAAGACAGGAACCTGGCTCTGCAGGTACTTATGTGTCCACATTCAGGTTTTTTTAGCGATTAGGGTTTCTTATCAATGTAATATTAATTCATTACGATCTTCTATCTATCTATACTATCTAAGTTCTTTTCATCTGCCTAACATTGAGAAAAAATGATAACTCTTATTGCCACAGTAGGTCGGACTTTTTGTCAACCAGTTTATTTCAATTGAGCTATAGATATGATTGTTGTTGATTGGCTGAAATAAATTTTGACTGTTTCCTTCATTAACTTATGTAGCTGAAATTTTTTGTTGCAGAGGCTGTCCAAAATAGGCTGCCACGTGACAACGTGCGAGACGGTCCTCTTTAAGCTATTGGGTGACAAACAACATGCCAAGTTCCAAGAAATTTCCAAGCTCGTGCGTGAGCCGTGCAAAGATGTAGGCCTGTTTGTTTAATTCAATATGGAACTCATAGAGATTCTTGTCCTTTTTATTCGTGATTCATGTATACACTGGGCTCGTTTTGTTGTGGTAGAGGCGTGCTGCATTGATTTTGCGTTCGGGATTGTGAATGTCAATGTGGATGCAGTAAAAATCTATCAGGAAAAGTGTTTGGAAGAAAAATTTTGGGTTATCTTTCCAATTATCGCTTGAATATCTATGATAGTTCATTGAGAGACAGAACTCGAGTTAGTGGGAGCTGCCGGTCTGGTCGCGTTACAACCACTAAACATCGAACCATATTGGGCATGTGGTACAAGACCTGTAAAAAATTGTTGCATGTACTAGACTAAAAATTTTATGTACTTCTCTTTTTGTTTTTCCGCCATAATCATAAATTATCAAATAACCTGTTAATCGTGCTAATTAGGTCGGTTTTACTGTGATGTTTCTCAGTACCAATAGTAATTCTAACGGCAGTGCCTTTAAATTTTCCCAGTAAGGAACTTTCATGCTAAATTACTGCTAGTGTAAAAATCTGACTAGTTACAACACCGATTCAAGGAAGCTGACTCTTTATTCTTGCTTGGTAATTCCACTACAAGGTCACCGAACCGTTCACGAGTTTTCAAGTTTCAATTGACATGCTACATTTAAAACCAAGTAATCGTGCCTAGAGGCAACGAAAGCAATATATAGTTTCACATTTTCTGGTCATTACTCATACCTACACCTTATACTCGCATGTATTTAATTGGTTGTAATTTAAACTGAGTTTATTACTAGGTTACTGGAGAAGAATCGGACGCAAATTGTCTCAAACCATGGCATTTTTACATAGTACGGGCCATTTATTTAGTTACTATAATAATAACACAACCACTATCAGTATGACCTTAATATAATTTGAGCACAACCAACAGCTTGTAAACTTGATACAATCCTGTTAGGTATTAAAGGGGCAATGAATTGAAATCACGAAGCCTTTTCGTTCGATCTTCCAGAACGTGGATGCTAAGTTCTGCTTTAGAGATGTTAATTAATGATGTTTAATATATGTTTAGATGTTTAATGTATTGAATGTTACATTTGTGGGAGTTCATATTTCTACCTCTGAGAGGGTTTCTATTGTACTTGCTATATAAATTATTGAATTACGTGTGAGCTGATCCCAAGATCTCAAGCTGAAACAAGCAATAGAGTAGGTATATTCCTGAGCTTCGGCCTACGAGGGACAGAAATGCAAGGCAATGTTGTAGGGTAAAATCCCAACATTTTATATACCTACTCTATTTCGAGAACTATATATGTTTTTTTCGCCCGTCACACGCTAGCCTTGCATATAAGTAAGATTTAGTAACTTTGGTTCATCTTAGACGAAAAATTTATATCAATTTAGGCAAATTACGATTGACCCGGGAGCTAGTACTGTAGTTACACCTGTTCTGAAGTTTGAAGCATGTTGCGTTCCATCATTCTGCTCTATCCTCAAGGTTTCTTGTTGAACGTGTAACTCTATCTGAATAAAGACTTTTTATGTTTCCCTGTGCTACGTTTTACTGAACTAAACCAGAACGGACGACCCGACATTAGAATTCCGCTTAAATAACAACTTGCCCCAGAAATGAGGGCCGCAGTCGGACGCTGCATGTCCTGTGGCGGGACGCTCAGGAACAATGTCACTGGGAGCGCGAGATCCCCTTCTGACGAGCGTAGATGCACGCCAGAAGTCTCTTCAAGCTATGTTAAGGCTGCCACGATTGAGAAGGAACAAATTTCAACCGTACTCTTACCTCCTACCTATTTGCTCAATTACCCCTTTTTTTTTATCGAAGATTCAAGGGAGCATGTGAAGACGTATTATGTGGAACCCCGGGTGGACGGTTTTGCTTGTTTGCCAGAACTTCGCTTTTACGTTGAGAATTTTGGGAGCCCTGAAGGCTCGTCTGTGGTGTCCCTACGGCAGAATGGTCACAGATCAGGGCAAAGTCCCCCGCCAGAGCAGAAAGTCTCACTCCAAGACACAGCGTCCCACTCCAGGGCAGAGAGCCCCAATGGGCTCTCACACACCTGGTGGCACTAAGCCACACTCTGGGGCATCATCCGGGAACGCAGCCGTAGACCACAAATTTTGCTATTAAATAAGCCCTGAAGCCAACGCCTAGCTTCACCATGCATTAACTTTACTCAGCCTCAGAACTAGAAGCCGCAGACTACGCTTGAACTCCGTAATCCAGGCAAGCAACACACTACCGAAAGATAATAGCGCCGTAGGTCTTCAGCCACTGCTTAAGCATGCGCGCTCATAAACAGGCAGTTCCCCTTTCTGGCTGTACCTACTCCAGCCTAACCTATTCACGCTGTCCCGGCTCACAGCCTTCTTGCAGCCAATGACTGGCTCAGCCAGCGCACTTGGATCGCCATTCTAACTTCTTGCAGCCTATGAGGTTAGGTTAGGTCCGCTCAGGTTTGTTTTGGGTGAAGAAAGGTTGCAGCTCGTATAGGTTAGGCCAGATGCAGTATGGTCATGTTTGCCTTTGGCAAGCTTACGTTGTGGCTGTGGACATCCGGCGCTGTGGCTTCGAGCACTTGACTTCATAGGCCGTTATGCACTCTAGCGTTCTTACCTATGGAAAGGAATATGAACTAAGTGTGAAGTATGGCAAAGCCGGCCTCCGGCATGCGCCCCCATCATCCACAACTCGATTGTCGGTAGTTATTCTCGGTCCATACAAAAATATTTAAACATAAAAGGAAGAAAAGCAGTCGACCTGGAGATGGCCAGAACATCTATTCTTGGTGGAGAGTCATTTCAGCATTTTCGCAGTGACGGGCCGGAAGTGTTGATCATTGTACAGTAATCAGGACTTGGTCTCAAGCTAGTACCTCCGCTGTCTCAACGCCTCGGAGCGAGACAGTATTGTAGCATCCATCTGCTTTTTCAAGATGCGAGATGACTTTCAAGATCCGGTGTGCTGTCACGGGAGCTCGGCACAGCACACCTCTACAAGCAGAACAACGCTCTGCTCAATAACCTTATTCTCGAGTCTACCAACCTATTCATACGCCTTAATAGCAAGATGCATGAACAGGAACGCAAATTTAGTTGATTAAGTTCAGTTGCTACCATCAAACGTTCTTATGGCAAAACAATAATTAATTGTTGCTTGCAGTCATGCTCGCTGTAATGAACAGTTGACGTCCTTATAAATATAGATCTAACTTGGCCATAGATTCATATGCGTAAAAATGTTGATCTATTGATAATTCGAGTGCCAAGTTGAACATCTTTCTGTGGACTAATATCCTTCAAGATGAATGAGCTGTCGCTATCTACTGTCTTGGGATGTGTCAGAAAAAATAATCATAACAATAACACATCACATATATTTAATGCTTCTAAATATTAAATTGTTTGAAATACACGAGATTTATGGAAACTGAAACAGGGTATCTCAATATCCTAGACCATGACTTTAGTAGCAGACCAAATTGAGATTACAGTTTGAAATCGACAGTCAACTGAGATAGAACGTATAACAAGCAGGAACTTACTAAGGGGGCCAAATTCAGATCTAAATTCTTTTTCTCTGCATTGCTATTTTGCTCAGTGTTCACATTATCGAGGTGACTTAAAACGACTATCACAATGTACTCGTAGGGCTCATGCCGGGTGCGGCACTGCAGATTGAGGAGCTTCAATTCACCCCAGTTGATCCGAAGCCACCGTCTCCTCTATCAGTCGAGGTCAGCTCCTAACAAGGTTAAGGAGCCATTAGCATGTCTTCTCACCAGTTGATTTTGTTTGTGTACTATAAATAACTGAAACAGCGTCAGAAAATCATTGAAAAACAAGTTAACCTACCATGGGTAAAATTTTCATGGAACCTTACTTTGCACTCATCGAAGCCTTGATACTTGTTATATATCCCAAACCCCTTTACAGGCCAAAAAAGAGTGAGACAAAAGACTGCTTACTGAGTTTTGCTTTTTTTGTAAAATAGTGAATTCATTATCAAACTATTTTTTTTGCATCAAGATAAACTTTACAGATGAATTGCGGCCTTCATTACATGCAAAATATAAATATAAGAACGTTGCAAGATGGAAGGGAGTATTGGAATCTGCACATGACAAGTTGGATGAAAAAATTTCTTCTGGTCAATATTAATTCATAAGTAATTGAAACATTGTGATTAACTGTAACTGGACATTTAGGGCAGTTAAACCTATGACAACCGAATAGACGATACTATTAACTACTTATAAGATTTCAATAAATTCGTCATATTACCCTTCGAACAATTTAGAAAGAACATAAAGCCACTAGCAATGTGTCTCACCGCTTCAACTTCCTGCAGTTCTGGGTAGAAAATCCTCTCGCAAATGAGCTGAGCCACGCGATCTCCCTTCTTAATAGCGAAGGGAGCTTTGCCATGGTTGAAGAGCACCACACCTACGTTGCCACGGTAATCTTCATCGATTACACCAGCTGAAAGTTAAGTATAATGTCATTCATCTAACATATTTTAGCGGTCGGCTCAAACACTGCATAACCTATAATCCCACTAGAGCATAGCAGGACTAAACAACTTTTATTCATTTATTATTTTGTATCAGAACAAGCAGTGACATCATGGATCTAAAATTCTCAAGTATCAAGAACATATCAATGTCTGCTTGAAGCAAAGGCAAATGACCTCCAACGTCGATGTGAGCCTTAACAGCAAGACCAGATCTGGGCGCAACTCGGCCATAGCAGCCTTCAGGCAGCTCGATCTGCAGGTCTGTCTTGATGACAGCCTTCCCTCCTGCCTCCACAACCACATCGTATGCACTGCAATTATCAAAACTTTTAAAAGTAGCCATGATCAAGTCGTTCCTGCAAGTATATTAACTCAGCTAAGTTCAGTATTTATTTATAAAAAAATATCAATGTTGGGCTTTATCTGCACTCATAATAGATCCCTCTACCAAAAAAAAGACATCATATATGGTGAAATGAGTTTAAATAGCAAAATTTGAGAATTCACTGGTCTTAGTTGGACAGGAATTGTGGATTAAATATACCAGCTGACCTGCTGAGATCATAACCAGCAGCCCGAGGTGAGCCTCGCTCAGGAGTCTTGGCATGAAAGGAGAGCTTCTTGAACTTCAGAACTGGGGCTGCTGAGACAGGCATTTTACTGGGTCCTGAAAAAATGAGTTTCATCAATGTAAATAATCCAATGCATGAATAATGGCTGCATCTCAAGAGAAAATTTTCATATTGAGGTTAGTGATATAGAAAGAGCTAGATATAAAAATAATAAATGTAAATTATGGAAAATGGTAATATTTGACTTTGATTCTACAATGGCAGCTGGGAAAGGCACAGCTAAAAATTTACATGGGCTACTCATCAACTCATGCATATTTTTTTGCTACATTTTTTTGGCATCAGGATTTATTTAGTTGATAAAAATTCTTTAAAAAATTTGGCAAACAGCTTTGCTTAGTGTCCTAGTAAAGTAGTGTCTTATATTGTACAAGAAAAAAGTTTATCTCATATTAAATTCACTTCTCTTTATGTTGAACTATTATGTGAAGTGTTTTTCACAATTGTTGCTTCACAATCCAATGAGACTATAAAAATTTGTTGCAGGACATGAAGCTCCTTAATTTGAGGGATGATGAAGCTGATCTCTGAAAAGTTTTTGATCAATATATGGTTAGCTAGATTGGCATTTTTCCGGCTTTTAAATTTATAGTAATTTGGGTTTTTGACTTTTACAGACTTTCTAAACTGTCATTCTAAAAACACCACCCAGTGACCCCAACATTCTGACCTCCTCAGCCATATGATTCCATCCTTACTAAGAGGTTTCAGAGTTTCAGATTCAACTGAACAGGTCTCAAGTCTGTTGGGCATCCCAGCCCATAAATACAGCACACATGTCAAATATCAATGCCAATTTAGTCATTGCAGCAATTAAGGTATGCTGGCAAATAATCAAAACAGGTCTGTAATAATTATTGTTGATCAAACTTTACAATTGAAGTTCTGAACTTCTGACACCTGACTTGACTAGCTAGTGTGACTACTGCCTAGTATTATATGGATTTTTTTGATAACCTGTTACCTGAAAGCCAAGTGCAGTATACCTACCTGTCAGACAAGAGACAACCACACTCAGGTAGCTACTGAAATAGTGACAAGTAAGACTGAGTCAAATTTATTGGATCAATGCGATGGTTGTCTGCTTAAGTTTGGTAGGTATATATTTCATGTACTGATATAGTCATAGGACTATACTTAGGTACCATTGCTTCCTATTTCCTAATGATAGGCTAATCACAATAAGCAGGAAATGTTGATGTTGCAGGCTTGCAGCAACAGATATTTTCAGGTTTGATATTTTTGTTATAAGAAAAATTAAAATCAAGATATAGCATATATAGGAATTAGGATATTCCAACTTTGATCAATCGAGGGATGACCATAAAGCAAATATAGTCAAATGGGGTAAGACAGGATCACAGCCTTCATGGGGTAAGAAAGGACCGGCCCATGGCGTGCATTCTAACTGCACTGAATTTAATTTGATGAAAGAATATGTTAGAGCAATCACTGCCAGTCATTTCAGTGCTTGTTTCAACCCTGTTCTGCAAATAATGAATTTTTTGTTAATTTTTTAAGAAAACCTATGTAAAGAAGGGTCACAAAATAGTTAACCCTATTTGGGAAATAAGCTTTGTCTGATTACAAAAAAAAAATTTGGCCAGGTTTGTGGATGTAGGCAGGTAACCTCTAATAAGCAACTTTTGAGACATTCTAGGCATTCCTACCTGCTACCATCACTGCCTGACATCTATTCTAAAATGGGGTAAAAAAGGACCGGACATGGGGTAAGACAGGACCACTACATGATCCTGTTTTACCCCACAAGTGGTCCTATCTTACCCCACAAATGGTCCTCTCTTACCCCATACTAAGGCCCATAGTTTATCAAAAGTAGCTTTCAAATGAATATATTATTGTGCGTAAGTAAACATGGAGTATTTTGGTCAAAATTTTTATCTTTTGCTTAAAATAACCATTCTAACTCGTTAGCTTTTTTAATTAGAGAAATTTAGCTTACTATTGAAAATTGTATCAAGGGGATGGAGAAAATAGGGATGTCTCTTCCCATTAGTGAGCTGCAGAACTAAGTGCAAGAGTGATTGGGGGGAAAAATCATTGTGTAAAACATAAAAAATAATTATTATCATAACTTTGTTAGAGGGCATGGGCTATGTTTGAAGAAGTGCACCACAAATGCAGTTAGCAAGAAAACACATGACGTCTGACTCTCAAGTTATTCTCCATTGGTTTTATTACCAATTTGATGAATTTTCAGACAATGACACTAATGGAATATACATGCAGCATTTTGCAGTGCTCTACAATGAATCACAGCCAACCTACTATTACTATGCTTAACAAAGTTTTCTCGTGTCAAAAACTCCAATGTGACTGATATTAGAGTTGATTTCCTGCAGCACAAAACAGTAACAAGTGGTTGTTTAATCAAATAATGTGTTTCTAGATGGATAATATTGAATATCATGTTTGCACAACAACACAAAACAACAAAAGGCAGAAAGAGATACAAATTATAAGCATTGAATATGTGCTGTTTGGCCCAGTATGCCCAAATTTCAAAAATAAATTTCTTCAGTTTCCTGATGTAGAGGCAACAGCCATTCTTCAGAAAATCAAAGAAAAAAGATTGCACCAAGATTAGACCAACTACAATGGACTTGGATAATGAACTTACTGAAGGACTCGGTAATATATATTTATATAGTATATATATATACATAGGTGGCAGACACAACTTCACAAGGCCTGCAGCAAATTATAATAATCTGTAAAGACCATTTTTTAATTAAAAAATAATATTAATTTCTTTGTCATTTCATTATTTAACATGTTTCTAGATGCATAATATTAAATATCAAGTCCTCAATTTGCTTAATAACCTAGAAATCTTGAAGTTAGAGGCTGGTCCTGTCTTACCCCAACCCGGTCCGGGGGTCCCATCTTACCCCGTAACCCCAGTGGGGTAAGATGGGACCAGTCCACTTTTTTTGCTCTGTGCAAAAAAGGGTTCAGTTTTCAAAAAATATGAGTTGGGGGATAGGAGTGCATTGCACCAACATACCATTTGGTAGGTTCAAGGTTTTTCAATTATTCATGGTTTAGGTGCTACATGCTTGTTAGTGATTTTGGTCCTGTCTTACCCCATCTGACTAGGTATATATAAGTAATAAAGTAAAAGAATTTTTGAATCCAATACACGATACAGTATGAAGCAATGAATTAGAACTTGCCAGTTGCCAGGTTACTTTTATATCAAGATATATCACTCTCAAATCTCAATTGTAAACAACGTATTAATTCGTAAACTCAAAACGTAGTTGAATCATAATGATATGATTGAAATAGATTCTTCTCAACGGCGTCCCAACCTACCTAATCACCGGCATCAGATTGCTTTGAACGAATTTGTCAAAGTAACATTACTGTAGCTGAATTAACGACTTACCACAAAATGCTTTCAATGTCAGAATGAACTTATTAAACGCCACTTTTTATTGCTAAATAATATTTGTGGGTGGGTGATAAGGAGAGCACACAAACACGCGACCTCTTTGCGCCAACAGTGCTGATGACCAAACGCCGGGCGGGAGGCCCGGTAGGGCCGGTACTTGGAAGGAGGCGTCTGTCTACTCGCGGCAACATTTGAATTTACCGCGGCATTTCACGCGCCAAATGCGACAGAATGCTAAAAAAAATCGTACGCTTTATTTATAATTTTTTACGCTAATTTTTGTAGTAGTGATCAGTTGTTTGGGTCAAATTTGGGCCAAAAATTTACTAGTTTTTACAACACTTCTCTTTAATTTCATTTCTCTTTTGTCTGTCTGTCACAAATCTTATAATCGAAATTTAACTCGCTTCTATACTTATCCTATCGGCCTGAAATTTTGCACACTTGCGTGAAGTTGGAGACAATGCATGAATCAAATGACAAATTAAATAATTTTAAAATACTTTTTTTTTCAATAGTAAAAACAAAAACACATAATTTTTTCTGCTACAAATCTTATAATCACTTATTTGCCACGTTTGAGCGATTGCCGAATCGCCACATGCACACGATTAATTATTCGTCATACACATACGATCAATTATTCGACACGTGCGAGTGATCACTTATTCGCCACGTGCACATGATGACGAATAATTAATCGTGTGCATGTGGCGAATAGGCGATCGCTCAAACGTGGCGAATAAGTGATCGCGTACCGTGACGAATAATTAATCGTATGTGTATGGCGAATAATTAATCGTGTGCATGTGGCGAATAAGTGATCGGTTGCATGTGGCGAACAAGTGATCGGTCGCATGTGGCGAGTAAGTGATCGTTTTCTTGTGACGAAAAAATGACCTGTATGATTGATATAGCCTGCATGTGACTGATCGTTTGCATCTGGTGAATGTCGTATGTATGTCGTGTATGTGAGGCTCCGCTAATTTTGTTTATAGATGGGTAACTCTGCTAGAATTCACTAGGCTAGCAACGTTCCTAGAAAATGAGTTGCGGGGGTAACTGGAGGAAATATATAAACATGGTCGCTACAGGTTTATATTTATACTCGTTCGATGTTTCGATAATTTATACTCGTTCGATGTTTTATAAAAATTTGTGATAAATTGTGCATATACGAAACACATAACGGTATATTTTTGTGTCAGAAACTGGCGATCATTTTCTGGATTAATAACAACATGTTTGCCTCAAATGTAAATTTTTTTCAATTGAAAAGATGTGATTTAAGTCGACGTAAAAACATTAGAAAAATTCAATTTTCACCAGAAAATACGTCAATTAAACTTATGTTGATTGATTCACATCTGTAAATGGACACGATCGCGTTCAATGCCAGTTTTTATTACAACACAAATCTTATAATCGAACTTATAATCTGCTACAAATCTTATAATCGAAATTTAACACACTTCTACTTATCCTATCGATATGAAATTTTGCACACTTGCGTAAAGTTGGAGACAATGCATGAATCAAATGATAAAGTAAACGTTTTTTAAAAATTGAATTTTTTTTCAATATTAAAAAAATGAAAAAATAATTTTGTCAGCTAAAAATCTTATAACTGATATATATGACGCACTTTTACCTGTCCAATTGATCTGAAATTTTGCACACTTGTGTGAAGTCGGAGGCAATGCATGAATCAATTGACAGAATAAATAATTTGAAACATAATTTTATAGATTAAAAAATTGAATTTTTTTTTTAATATTCGAAAATAAAATGAGAAATTCATAATACATCTGTAACATTGGAGACACTAGATTCTTTAGAAGTGTTGTATTTAAAAAGTAATTTTTAAACGTATATTATTCACGAATAGGAGATAGAAAAGCGCATTTCTAATGCATTCAATCCTTGAGCTATCTATATGATATATCATGGTAGGGTTAATATTGGATAGATATGATAGAGTAAGGAAATTGGTCGTGCATGCTTATCGGGATTTGCGCTGGCTGACGCTCTTCAGTATGTCAGCAGACAAGATGATTGATGGGCATTAATTAACAAGGTAATAAATTTCACTTATTAACGTATTGCGATTGCTCCCTACTATTGAGTGAACGTTTCCTTGTGCTAAACACCCGCCGAAAATTTGACTCGCCCGAAATTATCACGAATTACGGCCATGCATTTTTTTTGTCGTGGCTTAAACGTGAACATGAAAAATTCCATGTACGTACAAAGAAATTTCAAAATTTCCTATAATGATCAACAGTCTGGATGTCAAGGGAATTTTGAGGACAACCCACACAACCATCAACAAGTAATTGTGGGTTAGTACAAATTATCTCAGCATCTGGAAAAAAAACTTGATGAAGTTAACACTATTTTCATCGTGTATACCAAATTGTAGCACGCGGGATGGTGGTCGGAACAACGGCGGCGCAATGACGACAAGCACCATCTTCTTTTTCCCCGAGCTAAATATTGCACATTTGAACTTATTTAACCGAGATAATTTATATCTCAAATATTGATGACACGATAGTTACCAAATTGTAACCTGAAATTTACATTTGCTGGGAATGCGGTCGTCAAGAACTGCTATACCTGAATACATGAACTTTCTGGCCAAAGCAGAGAAATGAAGTGTCCGTTAGACAAGTTTTAATGAAAAATGTTCTGTTTTAAACACAGGTTTAGGAAAACTTGATGGTAACTTTGTCTGTTAACTTGCAGCCTGCAACGTATAAAATGGGTCACTTTGCTTGTGCTCTCTGCTGGCAATAGCCTCAAAGCAGCTGGTCATCATGTAATGACTTTAATCGATTATTGATTTGTGAATAATATTGCTTGAGCTACAATTGTCTCCCGAGGTACCGAATTTAACCGCAGTGTTCCAGTAATTCCCTTCCAGTAGCAAAAGAGACACCGTATAATTGGGTCTTAATGTTAATATTAATACATATTTTCGGCCCCAAACTTCGCTGCAAACGTCATTGGCTAAGCCGAAGAAGGATTGAAATATAATTTCGTGAAAGAATAATTCCGACGGCTTTGTGAGAGTTGAACGGACGCTAACCAAGCCCGCTGCCAAAGAGCATATGCTGTTAAAATATGCAATGGTTTCATGAAACTTTGAAGCAATTTTCAAATTTCTTCGTCATGCTGCAATTGCCCTCTCCTTAAAAAAATAGCTTCTTCACCCAATACCTAAGAAATATTAAAATAGAATAACGCATGTTAGACGATAGCGCGTGGTGGTTTGGTTGATAATAATGCGTGATTTGAGATTAAGTGTTGTTGCTTCATAGATGAAACATTCAGAATTATTTAAGAAGACTACAAGTTGAATGGACTACATACATTTTTTCATCCGGTACAAAGCTTCAAGATATGAAAAAAGAAAACTGAAAATGTTACAATTAACAACAGAGATAAAAGAATTTTAAAAGAACACAGCCACGTAAATTTAGATGTACATAATAACTGTTTAGCTTGAATCATAAATTATAAAATCATTGTTTGACCTTACTTATGCGAGACTCATGCTAATACTAAAATGTTGGCGAGTCTCATAATTATCAGTTTATTATTGGACTGGATTGAATCGTAACTCGTATTGGGCTTCTGCAGCCAAGTTGTGCCTTGCGAAGGCATGAGCTAAACGTCGTCAATTCTGTTACACTGACAACTCGCTCGCTTATTAAACACCATTGCATGCTAATAACGCACCATATATGTCCATGAATTCAGCGCCAGTCAAGCTTCAATACGAAAAGTAATTCGTTCTTCTTCTAGAATCGGTCATGATTTTATATTCAGCATGAGTCTTTGGGTTCACACGAAGTGAAAATGATTTATTTAGGGACACAATCGTTTTCTAATCTCCTAACGTATGAGTAGTGTTCAGTAGTTGCGGGTCGGATTCGATATTTCTGGAATGTAGTACCCTATGCGTTTACGTGGTGTTGGATAATCGGTGAACATTTTTGAACCTGTAGCTATCTTATTGATGTCAAAGGTAACGATGCATTTAGCTGATCGAGCAGAGCGATCATAAATTGCAGAGTTGATATTACGAGCATTTCAATTTTTGCAGAAAAACGCGCATTAGAATTTGATTAGTGCTCTATAAGTATATCAACTTTTGAATTTCATTAATGTGCGTAATTGAATTGCTCACAACCCGAGTGGACGTTTCTTCGCGGACAAGACCTGAAAATTAGACTCAATGCCGTTGAACATTGAACGCAGTCGAATTCTAGAATACGTCCGACGCGTACTGCAAATCGTCCGCGAGATATGGAGAGGTGCTTGACTAACATGGCTACGGAACAACAGAACAGAGATATTGAACTGCGTACGCTGCTGGATGGTTATGCAGCTTATGAACATTTTGCAATGTCGGTTTTATGTGGTGGTATTGTCGTTTTGGCACACACTAGTCACGGGGCAGCATTTTGTACGAATTCTAGTATATTAATTGCTGTGATTAGAATTCCATAGAGTTTGGCATCTCCGCAGTTCAATCTTGTTATGAAGAACAATCGAGACACAGCCGCTGACACCATGAAATCAAAGCAGCTCGCCAAAACAAGCGGTGGTGACATGCACTGTTCATAAAAATTTTCGAGTCCGGTTGAATGCCAAAGTTTTGAAATAAGGAAGACATACATAACGAACTCGTTGCCCACGCGAACAGGATCAGCCGTAAGGTGATGCTGGCACCCAGCAGTTGCGAAAAAATTATATCTGCGATACATTACGCTTGAGCCGGTTGGAAAGCATCCAGTCTAATAAAGCGCCCATGCCGATTGATATTTTGTTTTGCAATGATACAATTATCCGCGTGCACAGAATAACCATGGGACTTCAGTGAATGAATAACTTTTTTGTATAAGTGTTTAGAATAATTTTCATGAACAATTAAAACTTAGCTGCATTGCATCTGAATTATTTGCAGTTTGATATAAGTTTGCTGAAAAACAGAATGTTAATGATGAGGCAAATTTTTATGCCCTTCGGATGATTGACACGAGAGTTGCGATTCCTTTTCGTTTAAATATGTCCTATAGCGACAGTCGCACGATTCTATTATCGGTCATGCAGCAATTGTCTTAACTTTTGCAAGCACAGTAGCG